TCCATATCCCTGACCTTTTCATCGTAAGAAAGAGTTTTATGAGTCCAGGACATTTCTGCAACATCGATCCAAAAAATCCAATCCGTGCCTTCACCGGAACCCTAAGTTGGAGCTCCTCCCCTGCTCTCCAAAGCTTCTTCGTGGTTTCTCTCCACCCCTTACAGACCATCGCCGCCGCCCCCGACAACAACCTAACCGGCGGTAGCCTCTTCAATACCTCCCAAAAAAAACTCGCTAGCACATTCCCCGCCACAACCGGATCCATATCCAACTCCCCCTAATACCACTGGCACAAACAACGGCGTCGCGATGCTGTCGCGAACTGCAAGCGCCGTCGTGGGAGAAGAGAGAATACATAGATGGAGAGGAGAAAAATGGACCCAGGGGGGAGAGAGAAATAAATTCTAGGTTTGATTTGGGATGAAAATTGGCGTCGCGACGCTGTCGCGAACTGCAAGCGCCATCGTGGGAGAAGAGAGAAGACATAGATGGAGAGGAGAGAAATGGACCCGGGGGGGAGAGAGAAATAAATTCTAGGTTTGATTTGGGATGAAACTTTTATAATCAATATTTAATTAAATATAAAAAACCTGATATATATATAATTTTTGATTTTTGAAAATATAAACCTCATATCTGATTTTAGAATTTTGGTTTTGAAAAGTAGGGTTTGTGTAATTTTCACTAAAAATTTTTTGTGTGCTCCCTAAAGAGTTGGGCCCGAGGCGGCGGCCTCTTTGGCCTCTCTTGAGGTCCGGCTCTCGTTTGAGAATTTTTATTAAAAGTGATTTTTAGAAAAACATCTGATTAATTAGTAGATAAAATTATAAATTCATCTCTAAAATTATTTCGCCGAAAATAGAGGTATCAATCCGGGTGGTCCGGGACGAGTCGGCCCGTCAACATATGAGCCCGGTAATGGCCCACGTGAAAAAAGCCCGCTTGCTACGGGTTCCGTGCCAGTTTCGGGTCGGCCCACAAATTTTGGACTATGACCCAACCCCGCGCACTAACGCATCCGGGTCGAGCCCATGCCGGTCACGGGTCAATCGGGTAGCGGTTTGTTCTAATTTGACCCGTATTATTGTATAAATAAAATCATAAAAATATAGAATTTTTCATATT